ATGTGACTGACATCTATATAGTAACTCTGGGTATGTACAACATGTTATCTTTTAATCATCTCGTTTTAACTGCGGGCCCTATCTCGTTCCCCAAGTAACGCCAGCAAAACCCGCATTACCATGTCCGCCTGTACTCTTAACGCAAGAAGACTAAATAACCGTGGTCGCTCAAATGACGTCCCATGCCGCATGGCCATCAACACCCTGCGAGACATCACATAAACGACGCCCCATGCTGCATGGCCATCAAAATCCAACGCAGGGCCATCAAAATCAAGCAAAAATGCCTGGGCGATCGATTAGCTATGCGAATGTGCTCGCGAGTGGTCAATGATGCAGCTTCCGGTTCTCTGTCTATGTTTGAAGGTCCAAGTGCCGTTTCCAATTTCGCGATCCTTTAATGTAGCGGAAACAAGAACTGCTCCTGTACCAAGAGGCCATGCTACAGGCATGGGCCACAGGTGGCCACAGGGGCTAAATCTGCACATCTGGCCCTGCGTCCAGAATGCTTGGCTGCAAGGCCCAGTAGTCCCACCTCAGAAGTTTGGCATCGATCCTGTGGAAGATATACTCCGTATCCTCCACCACTGGGTTTGGTGTGAAGAACTCCACCGAGATGTCATACAGGACTGCCAGCATAGCCAAGCGTGAGTGCTGAATCTCAGCCTCACCCATCCATGGCCGATTCTCTGGCAAGAAAGTGCGGAACACGGTCGGTGGCTGCCAAGATTTCAGTTTCAACGGGTCGAAGCCACTGTCTCCGGGTTCGTTTCCATCTTTGCCTTCACCACGAAAGAGCTCCACTGCACCGCCTATGGCCAACACAATGGCAGCAAAGACTTCCACGAATGTGTCATTCTCTCCAAGCTGCGGAAGCATCTTTCCACCCGTTTCGGCGAGAAAGTCGACAGCATTGGAGTCAGAGCCGACGATGCTCTCATCGACGATCTCGGCCAGTGGCCAAGCAACTGCCGCGAACATTGCCAACCTGCCGTGCTTCAGCTCTGCCTCGCGATATTCAACGAATTTCCGCACGTCTGTGCAAAGACCGAGAGGGTCAAAGCCCAAATCCCCAGGAACGTTCGCAGCAAAGGCGCGGTAGTCGGGCTCACGCAGGAACAAAAAGCGTGGCAGGCTGCGGGTCTCTGAATAACGAAGTCCAGCAGTTCCCTTCTGCGTCTCGATGCCTTCGAGATCTGCTTGCAAGATATTGTCTTCGTCAGAATCCATGGACATCGTGCTCTCCACTTCTCGAAGGCGCTCCTCGACATCTGCTTCTGGCTTGCTGCCCATGACCGTGCGGCTGCGCGCCTTGCTCCACATCCGTCCTTGTCCTCTGCTGACCAGCACGATGGACACAGAGGATACCAAAGCGATCAGCAGCCCACATGCATCGTTGTCAGGTCTTTGTTGCCGCAAAGACGGAGAAGTGGATGAACGGACTCCGGCCCCCAACGAGGGGGACGTAGCTCCCTGCACAGGCACGGCAACGAATGCCATGACATGCAGCGAAAATCAGTTTCTGATGAAATGTGCTGAGTTCTACGTTGGACTGGCATCCGGATTGATTTGCTGCCAACTGTAGGCATGCTGCAGGCCGTGCAGACATGGTTGTGCTGCTAACAACCATGCCTCGTGCTGTTTCCGTATGCCTAGGATTCCATCTGGGCCAGTTGGAGTCAACAAGGTCGAATGGCGGATCAAGGCTGGCTCGGCTTATCTTTCTCTCTCTCTCTCAGGTGGGGGTCCCGGGGTGCGTCCAGCCCCAAGCCCCGCGCGCGAGCGCGCACCCGCGGTTCGTGGGTGGCGTTTATGCCCTTTCCCAGTTTTTTCTCGGGAAGGCTCGGCCATACACTCGCACTTTAGGCGTGTCCCCCAAACTGAAACAACTGCATCATCGGTAGCTAAGGCCAAAAAGACATACTGGGTTCAACGACATTTCTTTCCCCCTCCTGGGCTCAGAGTACATGCACCAAGTGGGATGCAAAGACATACTTAAGGTGCAATCACTCTGCGGCTCCGGCCGAACAACGCAGTACTGTAAGGCGTGATGATTCCCCCACGAAAGACACCAGTGGTATATCAACAAAAAGCTCTTGGGAACCATCCCCCCACTCTGGCTGTTGTTCGGGCTGGGTGCTTCGAGGGTTAGTGAAAAGAGACCCACCCATGTTTCAGAAGGAGTGAACTACCCCCAAGTATGGTAGGTATGACTTTCAAACGAACAATGCGGTGGTCTCTAGCGTGAAACTTTCCTATTGTTTGCCCTCGTCGGCAAACTCAGTCTCTCTCTCCGGGCATGAGCATGGGCATGATTGCGGCGACGTGGCGACAAAATTCTCTCACTCTCTCTCTCTCTCTCTCTCTCCCTCTCTCTCTCCCTCTTTCTCCCAAGCATACGGGTCGGTCAAGACCCCAGGCTTCAAATCCACCCGCATGTGTTATGCAGCATAGTTATGCAGGAGAAGGGGTGTACAGTAATGGCCTCTCTGGCACTCTCTCTCTCTCTCTCTCTCTTTCGTTCGCCAGGTTGTGTAGTGGCTTTGTGCTCGTACTGTAGAGGAGGACGGCTCGGAGACCTCAGGAGTGTAGTCGGGTTTGTAGTGGACCGCCACTTCCCAGCAACCGTGTGTGAACCGGTACATGGTGTACACGCTGTTGCTGCTGACCGGGATGTCCGGTAGGAAGTCAAAGTCGTCCTCAGGTCTGTCTTGGGTTTCGTACCACTCGTGAGCAGGTGTAGCTCCCATGGAGGGACATCATCGAAGGAATGTGCGGGTTGCTCAGCTTGGCTGTTCGGTGGGGGCTGCATTTCTTCGCGATGTTGCGAGGTTCGTCTGGCTGCACGGGTCGGGTGTGGCAGGGGGGGTGGCAGTGGCTGTGGTCGGCTGCGTCGCGTGGGAGTGCGGGTGAAGCAGGTTGTGGCTGCTGTTGTTGTGGCTCAGGTTCCGCCCTGACTGCGGCCGGGGAACCGGGGGGGTGTCGCGGCAGCGTGTGTCTGCTGAGCACCTCGGCCCATTCGGCAGCTGCGTTGGCTGCTTTGTCGCCACGTGGTGGTTGGATTGGGACTTGCCACTCGTCGAGGTTGTCGCTCTCATCCTCCTCGCTCTCTTCGCTGCTGTGGTAGTCGCTGCCCGGCTTTGTGTCGTCATGATGTGGTGTGTTGCCTCTGGCTGCCTGGAATTGGATACCCATCCTGGGCCGTGCTGAGGCTTTCGTATTTCGCCTGCTTGTTGGCGACGCCTTGTGACCCGTGCCCAGCTGCTGTATCTGTCCGACGGGAGTGTCTGCTGGTGTGTGTTGTGATCCCCAGCCGGGCTTTTCCATGGAGGGGGTCTTCGTGGCTGTGGCTGCTGCTGTTCCTCTGTGGCTTGGGCACTGGCATGGATCCTCGGACACAGCTTCCGCCTCCCAAACCGGGTGTGCTATCCCGGGGCCGTCGCATCGTCTCCCGGTTGTTGGGAAGAGTTGCTTGGCTTCTCACCTGAGCCGGCTGTGGGTGGAATCTGGTCATGCTTCGGATCTGCAGGTGGGAGTTGTGGCTGTCCGGAAAGCAGTGGTTGTTGGTTGTTGTGGGCTGCTCGGGATCGGCAACTTTCAATGTGGACTGGATGCGCTGTTGCTGGCCATGTTTGCTGTGTCTGCGGCGGTGGCACTGGCCCACCTTGATGGAGGGGTGGAGGCTGCTGGTACTGGATTTGGTTGGTGGAGAGAAACACCTGTTAGTGTTCGGCTTGTTGTTGTAGAACCATGGCAAAGCCTAACCAGGTCGCGTGTGGGAGTCCCTGTGGTATCAAAGACTGCCATGTGAGCTCTGTCGGCGGGGCAGGGGAGGTTGTAGTTGTCCCCCTTGCTGTTGCTGCATTTGGGTGGTTGTCTGTGCGGGTGCAGTGCTTCCTGTAGAAGTAGTTGAGCCTGTTGCGGCCGTCCTGGTGAGGAGACTGGTGCAGGCAGGACCAGCGGTGGGGCCAGGTCTTGGGTTGGAACAGGCTGCCTTCAGGCAGGCAGTGCATTTGGGGAGCCAGTGCTTCCCCCTCTGCTTTGGTCGCGAGCTCTCTTTGGGTTGCAGCACAGGAATTGCTGGTCTGCCTGAAGCGCGTAGAAGTCAAAGATGAAGCGAAAATTTGTACATGTGCATGAAGTTTTTGGAGCCGAACATCACGACCTCACAAAGAGCATAAAGCATGACAAGGAGCTTCAGGCAGTGCATGCAGGTGTCGATATTGTAGTTGATCACGTCAAAAGGGCAAGGGCCGGGCATGCCCGAGCTGCAATGTGTGCACAAGCGAGGTGCCGAGGCATGAAAAGCATCCCGCACATGTCTCATCAAGCTTGACAGGTAGACGGTAGACTGAACTGCGAAGAGCAAAAGCTATGTGTCTGTGGGTGGCAGCGAAGGCATTCTAAATGTTCTGGGTTCTGCAGCTGACGAGCGCACGAGGATCCCTGCCTGGCTGGTGCTCATCGGCGGGGACCGAGCATGATTCCCCGCTTCACCTTGCAAGTGCAGGTAGGTCACGCTCATCTCTCGTAACTGTCGCCGGGCTGGGCGCATGGGCGGCAGTGTCATGAGGCGCCTGCTTGCATGTCTAAGGATGTCGATTGGCATTCCACCACGACAGGCATCTCCAGCGAAGAAGTTTTCCCCCAACAGGGTCACCCCGGCACATGTGTCCCAGGAGCCCCCAGATTTGCTCAGGGTTAAAGTCGACCATCGATTGTCGGCGGGGTGCTTCTTGGTTACCCCGTGTCTGTGAAGGATGGCTCGTGCTCGGCGTAGTGTTTGCTGGTTCCATGCCGGCCAAGCTTCGCCATTCCCCCTTTTCATGCCAGCCATGTCGCGGTCGTGGATCAGCTGCATGCTGTTGGTCTGCTTGAGGATATGGACATTGCACGGCCATGTAGCACATCCCCACAAGGCCGATTGCCGCACCAACATGATGTGTACGTAACACCATCTTCCTTGAAATCGAGGCTTTCGCCATGAGCTCGCCCCGGTGTGTCCAGAAAGCCTTTCGCCCCCAGGTCTGCATCGAGGCGGTGATCATGCTGGGTATCGTGTGAAAAGCCACGGGGGTGCCGAGGACAGTCAGGATGTGTTTCGGGCCTTTGGCGAGGACCTCTTTCCTCGCCATGTGGCTCCTTGTTGCTGATGATGCTGATCTTGTGTGGGTGGAGGAAGAAGCCTTTTGTGGTGAGTCTTTCCCCCAGCAGGTCCAGCATCTTCTAGATGGGCACCAGACATCGACCACAGGTAAGTGTCGTCCATGTAACTTCCATCGTCTTCTGGTGCAGGGTCGTCTTGTGCACGTTTGCAAGATGCAGTGAGGTCCATGCCCTTGCTTCCCAAGGCTTGTTCTCCTTCCGAGCAACATATTCTTCGATTCGGAGGGCCATGGCCTCCTGGTATACTGAGTCGGATGCCTTGCGGATATCCAGCTCAGCGATGTACATGTTGATGCCGGAATCGTGGGCTATTCGGCACACTCGCCTCGAAATCATCAGGAGCTCAAACCCTTGACGAGACCTTCGTGACCACTGTAACCTTGAAGGTGTCATGAAGTCCGCTCTCAGCAGTAGTAAAGTAGTTGAGAAAAGGCTTTCAGCAGTGCGAAACTGATGGCGTCTTCCTTCCTTCCTTCCTTCCTTCCTTCCTTCCTTCCTTCCTTCCTTCCTTCCTTCCTTCCTTCCTTCCGTTGGGGACAGGTCTGCACGCAGACCCGGGCCTAGGCCCCCCAATCCCTTCCTCGTTGGTGGAAGGAGGCTTCGGGGTGTTTGGGAGAATTATCGCTCCCCTGGTTTGCTTGAACAGTAGAGTGCTACTGTCGAGATCCCCCCCCCCTGAACACTCGCATCCCGGCCTCATCACCGCGCCCTCTATGGCCTATCCTAAGTCCCTCGACAGGAGCACTCCCTTGCAGGTACCTACCCTTTTGTTAAAGCAACAACTGACTGCACGACAACACCACAACCTGAGCAGGTCACGACTACCGGTGCGGCTTGTCCCTCCCTTGTGCTACTTAGCTACTTAGTGTATTACAATTCAAGTTGGATTCGTAGTGCTACATGAAGGCCAG